TACACGTACATCCATTCAAATCCAAACATTTATACAAACCCAATTATTACCCAAGATGAAACCAAATCCAAACTATACAAGATATGTGCCATCTAGTCACACGAATAACATAATACAAGCGATTCCTTTGCCTCGATCCCTATGGGAAGAAGAAAATAATTGGGGGTGAGTTAGAAACTCAGCGAGTGACCAGTAAAATCAGTAATCCGATCAGTTTCACAATAATGCATTTAAATGAGATTATGAATCAATGATCAAATGTACATTTATTGCTCTTGTGAGCCCGTGAAATCATCGTACTTAGAACTCCAACGCTCAAACAGATCCAGCAACAATTAAACAGTAATAGAGAGCCATCGGTGCTCCAAATAAGCAGTGGAGACGTTAGTTCTAAACACAAGACTTCCCAAGAACTCATTGAAGCCAAATCATGTCATGGCACACACACAAGCACAAATGATATGCAATTGAGTAACCAATGCAAGAATTAGTTCACAAGTATCTTTGGAAATAGTTGAGTGATCACTCACCAACCACGGCTCATGCACCTCATCCATCATATATAATTGCCTTACTCAATTCCAAGCCCTAGATCACAAATATCATGTCAAGCAAAGGGAATTCTAAAATTCATCAAGTTCCTATCACCTTTTGACATTTTAATCACAACAGAATCTACACTTATCGGATTGACACGAATCTTATGGCGTTATGAATCTAAGACATATACCAACATTTCTTATGAAAACTTCTAAAGCCAAATCATACATCTTCATGGTCAAAAACTGAAATCATAGAGAAAAAATGGAAACTGTCCGCGAAACAGGGATTATAGGCAGTCAAGGGTATTTCGATCATTTCATATGCTACAGTACTCCAATCAATCTAAAATTTTGCAGGTAAATAGCTAACTCAAATATATACAACTTTCATGTTTTGTCCAACAGCTGGTTCGGTCTAAAACATGGATAAATTTGCAGTCCAAGTTGAGTCCAGAACAAAGTAAAACTGAAATCACACTTCTTAAATTAACCTTTGCATATAACCATCACTAATTGCAATTAAGGGCTAGAAAACCCAACTTAACACTAGAATAGCTTCTACTAAGCATATACATACCAAATTGAAGATGAAATACTTAGATAAAGTCTAGAAATATCACTAAATGGAACTTTATCAACCCAACTTCCAAATCACAAGATTAAAGAACAAAAGAAACTTTTAATTATCACAAACTCAAAGCAATCAAATGCTCTCAAAGATTGGACAGCACTTCCCCTTAATTTTCTTATTTTTCCTCTTACAAACAATCACCAAATTGCATCTTACCAACCACAATTATACATACAATTCATAGACAATAAAACACATCTAATTAGGGCCACAATACCATTCATATCTCACCGAATAAGTGCTCCAAAACCAATCACAATTAAGCCACAATAAAAATCCTAAATCTGAAATTTAACCCCACAAGCGAAAATTTTTCGTAGGAAATCATATCTATTTCAAATAAACTTCACCTTACTCTACCCAAATTATCATTCCATGGCCAAACAACAATTATCATATAAAAATCAGAAAATTCACTAATAAATCAGAAATTGATCAAACTCAATTTAAAATCATGAAATCATCCACAAAATAGCATATCTAACCTCTACAAACCACTAATTAACCATTCTTAAAGCAAAGAGAGAATTTTCTTATCCAACTTACCCCAAAACTCAAGAAAGCTAGCAACTTAGAACTTCCCTTTCAAAAATCACTCCATCAATAGCTTTAAACCTCCTTAGTATACACTTGAATGGAATAGATTGCAAAACTAACGGTGAAATCTCAAGATTGAGCAAGAAATTGAAGAACATTCTCTCTTATTTTGCTCCTCAAAGTGCTGGCCAAGAAGGTGAAGAAATGAGAGAAAATATTAGCCAAAACAAGATAAGAATGAAGGAAAAACAGTCGGTCAAACCTGGCTGCTGAAGTGTCACGTCACAATCCGGCTAGAATTTGGCCAGATTTTCGACCGAATTGTTGGCCGGATTCAAGGCAGAAGCGAATCCAATTTTTTTTTCAAAACTCCAAGCCATTCCAGCCAGGTATCCTGCCAAGAACTGGCCGGATTTTCGGCCGGATTCTTCAAATTCACTGTTCACAAGAAATTTTCCTTTCTTCTTCTTTCAGGGCGTCATAAACTCCCCTCCTTAAAAGAATGTCGTTCTCGATATTCCAACTTGTACAAATAAGATCAAAATATCCCTCGAAATTCGGTCACGTACTAAGAATCACTCTAATCCCATTTATCACAATCAAGTACTAAGAAGCACCCCAATCCAACTTATCAAATAGCAATGATCCAAAAGATAGCTAAACGAGTAACCAAAAACATGCAAAAGAGCTCGATTCAAACAACTAGTCCTGAGTTGGAAATAAAGTCCTAGATATTCGAAAAATTTAGAACATGGCTTAACCTCAAGTCGGAAATTTCTCAAGTCGAAAATTTTACCCCTGGCGGTGCTGGACAACACAACAAATTAGCACAATGGCTATACATCACCAATGAGTCTCAGGTTCAAGATTTCGTCCCTGGTGGTGCTTGATAACACAATAAACTAGCACAACGGCTATACTTCACCAGAGAGCCTTAGATTCAAGATTTCGTCCCTGGTGGTGCTTGATAACACAACAAGCTAGCATAACGGGCTAAACTTCACCAGAGAGCATTAGTTCAAGATTTTGACCCTGGTGGTGCTTGAAACACAACAGGCATGTCTCGCCAGAAGAATGGTAGTGTTTGAAAACACATCAGGCAATGCCTCACCAGAGAGGTTCAGTTCAACCGCTACAGAGGAGTAGTAGCCGGTTTACAACCACACGAGTACGAATAAGTTCAAAAGTAGGGTTCAAACATATAAGTTCAAAAGTAGAGCCAAATAGTTCAGGTTCATGGTGCATGAGTACGAATAAAAGCACAAGTTCAAGTTCAAGTTCAAGGAACACACTCGCCTAACCTATATCCAGCAATTCACATTCTCAAGTAGTCTCAGTATTCAAATCCATATACAGGTCATATACGAACCAAGCTACTTGCTCATGCATAAAAGAGATACCATATATTCAGTCAAGTAAGGTCCATTAAGTGTACGTAAAAGCACCCTCGCCTAAACAGGTTCAAATCTCAAGTGAACTCAACTTAGTCGGTCTCAAGCAGTTCAAGCATTTCAAGTCCCAACACTTACAAACCGAGCGGTGCAAAACTTAATTAAACAAGAAGACTAGAAAAAGGATGCAAAACCAAAACTTTCTCAACAATTCTAGCCACCATCATAATCTATCAAAACCCTAGCAAAAATCTTGTTGGACAAGTTCTAGATAACATTCATTATTCAATCTCCTCATTCAGTTAAGTGCCGAATACAATACGAAATCCTCTATGCTCTAACCTGTGCCATGACAACTTATCTCAAACTCACTTATAATTCTTATTCACATCATCATACACTAGACCATGTTCCTTCAAAAATTCACAAGCATTTCCTCAGGAAAGTATCGAGTGCTCAAGTACAAGAATTCAAACTAAGAAACTTCACGACTCAGACCGTACACTCTCAAACGAAAATCAACAAAGTCATATCTTACGCTTACCACTTCCATGATTCACCACTTACGCTCAAGAAGAGCACTGGTTCCTTTACGCACATCCATATAATTGGGATCCTATCCCCACTTGGCCCCAAGTTCACTCCGTGCTGAGACCACGCAAAGCAGCTCTGATACCCATTCAGTGTGACAGCCCAACCTCCCCCTAAGGAGAACCAGAGGGTTCGGCGGACCGCCTGCCCAACTCTCGTCAAGACTCACTCACGCACTACAATCCTCAAACAAATTACAAGGTACATCTCAAATAATATATCAAATCCGCCATGAATTACATCTCATGTGCGAAGCGGAAAATAATACAAGAGCTCTAAAACCAATCACAATTAAGCCACAATAAAAACCCTAAATCTGAAATTTAACCCCACAAGCGAAAATTTTCCGTAGGAAATCATATCTAGTTCAAATAAACTTCACCTTACTCTAACCACATTATCATTCCATGGCTAAACAATAATTATCATATAAAAATCAGAAAATTCACTAATAAATTAGAATTTGGTCAAACTCTACTTAAAATCATGAAATAATCCACAAAATAGCATATCTAACCTCTACAAACCACTAATTAACCATTATTAAAGCAAAGAGAGAACTTTCTTATCCAACTTACCCCAAAACTCAAGAAAGCTAGCAACTTAGAGCTTCCCTTTCAAAAATCACTCCATCAATAGCTTTAAACCTCCTTAGTATGCACTTGTATGGAATAGATTGCAAAACTAACGGTGAAATCTCAAGATTGAGCAAGAAATTAAAGAACATTCTCTCTTATTTTGCTCCTCAAAGTGCCGGCCAAGAAGGTGAAGAAATGAGAGAAAATATCAGCCAAAACAGGATAAGAATAAAGGAAAAACAGCCGGTCAAACATGGCTGCTGAAGTGTCACGTCACAATCCGGCCAGATTTTCGACCGAATTGTTGGCCGGATTCAAGGCAGAGGCGAATCCAATTTTTTTTTCAGAACTCCAAGCTAATCCGGCCAGGTATCAGGCCAGGCCTGGCCGGATTTCCGGCCGGATTCTCCAAATTCACTGTTCACAAGAAATTTTCCTTTCTTCTTCTTTCAGGGCGTCACATTGAGCACTCCCCAGTAGCTTCTTTTGGAGGGGGATCTATAGCTATTATTTTCTTTTATGGGGAATCCTTTCCCAAAGTTTGCTCTCATCGAATCACTTCCCTTTGAGACTCTTATTTTGCAGCTTTCTCACGTGGCCTATGATCCCACATGAATAGCAAAAGTTCGGGCATCTCTCATATTTGAACTTTATCCATTTCATGGATCCTTCCATTTTGACAGTGGTACCTCTCGGGAGAGGTTTGAGGCTATCAACTAAAACTTGCACTTTAAGGTGTCTTCCTTCTTTGTCTCCAGTTTGAGGAATAATGGTCTCCCTCACTCCATGGAATATAGATCTTTTTTCCCACTTCTTTTGATATCCAATGGATTGGTAGATTCCACATTTGCACCCACATAGGACTTATGAAGGCATTCTGATCATCCTCAATTCCTTCATACCATTTTTCTAGGATTAGCAGTTGGTTATCCATAACCCATGGATCCCCACTGACAACTCTATCCTGATCTTCCTCATCTGGGATTATGAACTGGAACAAGTTAGGTCCCAGCTTTGTCACTTTTAGATCCTTCGGATAGCCCCAAGCATTACTGACAAAGTTTTTAACTCCCGTGAAATTGGCTACCCTTTCACTCCTAACTTTCCCCATCAGACTTAACAAGCACTCTTTTTTGCTTAGGCTAGAGTCTCCTACATCCAAATTTGTGATACTACACTCTTCATTACTTAAAGCAAACTTTTTCATTACTTCAGTCAGCTCTTCAACCATAGCAACGAGCTGAGATATAATCGAAATCCCAAAATCTATCTGAGGATGAATAGTAGCTACTCGCACCATGACAGAACAGGGAGTAACCCAGCTCTTTCTGCAATGTAAATGCAATTCTGGGAGACATACAAGGAAAACGAAAAAAGAAAATAAAAACAAGTTAAAATTTTATTTGACCAAGACATGAAAGTATGAACTGGCCTTAGTTTGGAGAGATTTATGACTGTGAGCTCCAGTCCATCACCTTCAAGCTCCCGCTGCTGCTCTCTGGTTCTCTGACTTGTCGTATTTACTTAGTGCCATTTCCATTAACTGCTTACCATTCACAATACTCTTTGTATTAACTGTTGTGCATTCCTTCTAGATTTGCTTGTTGATCTAAGCTTTTGATTGATGGCTGGTGGTGAATTTTAGAGCAGGTGAAGATGGTTTTTGAATTTTAGAATTTTGAAAAGTACGGAACTCCCACCATTGGGGAAAAGTGCACTCAAAGGAGAGAGAAAATGCTCTCAAAGGTGTTAATTCTCAATGTATTCAAATTCTAATGGGAAAATTAGACCACTAATGAGATACCAAAAAAAAAATTTCAAAATCCAATGCCATTTAGATATAAGTTTTTTTGATCGAATGAATCACCAGGTAGGTTGTATAAAAGGCTACCGTTATTTTGTTTTGATCAAATGAAACATCAATAGCTAGTTTTAGCTTGTTTTGTGCAAATTACTATAATATTAGATATTAGAGTACTGTTATGGAAACATTAAAAAAATAGTAGTATTACTAATTACAAGAGAAGTTTGTAACATTTATAACTAGTTTGGATATTTAGCTTAGAAAAGAAAAGATGGGAAATGTTAAGTTATGAAAGAAAAAGAAAAGAATAGAAAGAAAGAGGAGATTTTAATGTTGTTTGAAAATCTTAGAAGGAAATAGAATGATTTTGGATATATATATCAATAAAATTTCATTCAACAATTTTGTGAAGATAAAATAGATCATTTAAAAAAGTTTTATAACCTTCCATCAGTTTACTTTTGCTTTCCGCCCGTTTTTGGTCAAAAAAAAAATTTGCACTATAATAGCACTTGACATCCTTCAAAATCCGTTTGATTCTTTTTTTTTTTTCACCTCAATTGAAAGTCCCAAATGAAATAAAATCCACTTTCTGTTCGATTCCGTTGGAATCTCAACTCCCAAACTAGTGTTACGGACCTCTGTGACGATACTGCTGTTCTAACTCAATAATACTCGGGACGCCGAAAACAGAAGAAAAAGCAAAAGAATTGGCAAAAGAAGCAATGAAATTGGAACTGAAAACCATGCAGGAGCTGAAGTCCTGGTGCAGCATTCCTCGTTTTGATTACAACGCCTTTTTCTCTCCTCAATCATTCCCACTCCGGCTTTCTCATCACCTGCCTCGTCAGTAAGGCCTCTCTTCTCATCTCCTGTGCAGAAAGTTTTGTTCTTTTTTACTCTTCTGTTTTGTTATTTTTGTGCTTTATTTGCATTTTTTTTTATGTAATTTGCATCTGGGTTTTTGAAAATTTTCAATTTGATTGTTTGGGTTAGTCTGGGTAGTGTGGTGAATTGATAAAACTGCTTCCTTTGTTTATGTAGAGAGGGAGAAGAGTGCAACAAAAGAAGCCATGTCAATTCTTGAAAAGGTAATGAATTCTGCTAGTTTTGTTTCTTGTCAGTTTTCGGGAATAATGTCAAAATAAGGAAATTTTAGACATAAAGAAAATTCATGCTGACTTGAGAATCAGGACAGTTGAATTGGTTTACTGAAGTTGGTTTGGTGGGATTCTTAATTTCTTGGCAAGGTTGGGAACTTTGTAAGTGTGTAAGAAAATTCATGCTGACTTGAATTACCGGTATAATTGTGTTTGCAGCTGTAATTGTTTTGGTTTAAGATGAAGAGTAGCAATGTTATGGAATAGATGTTTGAATGATTAAGCATAAGTAAAAAAGCAAATGGGATAGCGACTAATAGATAAAATTCATGAAGTTTGATGCAGAAGGTAGGTGCAAGCATGTTCTGTTGTTCAAATGCATTAGGTATTAAGGGAGGGGGAAAAAACAAACAAACTAAAGTTGATTTCCGTTTTAAATGTGATAAATGTATGGAAATGAAGTGTAATGCTAATGGCCGTCATTTGTTAGAAAAATGGCAAAATAATGCAGTCGACACTGTTTCCATCTGTTGAACTTAATTTAGGAAAAACGTTTATCATTTTTGGGGTTTTAAACTTGATTAAGGTTTTAGTTGGCAGACAAACAGCAGGATAAGATGTCAATTATCCTGCCAATAGGTTATTAACATCTGAATCTTGTAGCTGGCTTTAAATTTTTTTTGCTTATGATCTTCCACTTCACACATTTATTTGTAATTAATGCATTGCTAGGTCACAGATTAATATGCTTTATTCATTGTTTACATGTCTTATTCACCTTGCTTTGCTCACACTCTGTCATTTGTCACTTGGTTCAATCAAGTGACTCCGCTTAAGTCTGCTGTGCCTTCTTGAGTAAATGACATGATTTGTGATCCACAATGCAACACTAGTTAAGTTGTTTATCACCTATAGCTTTCCAGTGTGTATATATGAATGAGTTACCATTTTCTTTGAATTTGAAGAGGCATATGGATACATAGTCAGCTTAAGCTCGAGTACTTATCGCATACGGGTAAAGGAAAAATTCACCTTACTTATACAGAAGCTTTGCATTGTTTTCTTTGAAAATAAAACAGAAACAATATATAGAAGATATGCAATATTTCGTACGGTAAGAAAAAAAAATTTATAAATATAAAAGCAATATAATAAGGGCATGATTATATTTCTCTAGAGAATGACATGGTGTAGACACCAAATTTTTCTCAGTTCCATTTTTAACTTTATTTTATTTCTTTTAGTTTAATTTCCTGCTTTATTATTAGCATTCGTTCTTATTTATTTAATTTTGTTTGCTTAAAAAAAAGAGAGAAAAAAAGAAAAGAAACAAAACACAATAACAAAAAAAAAAGGAAAATAAGTGGAAGTGTGCATGCTACACAAGTGGGGATCATGCAGAGGGACAAGTGTTCCTTTTTGCTTCTTAACAACACATCACTTAGGTGGCAAGGGGTCTAGACACTTGTAAGATTGGGTTTTTGGGGCAAGAAAGCTTGGGGGGAAAGTGGACGAAACGGAGGAAAAAAGAAAAAGCAAAAGAGGGAAGAGTAAGAAAGAAAACCAGGGTTTTCGGAGGATAGAAAAAGGAGAGTGACGACTAAGAAAAGAAAAAAGGAGAGGAGGTTTCTGGTCTGGAAAGAGGGGGTGGAGAAAAAAAAAGACAGAAGCAAAGAAAGAAACAGAGGAGGAGGTCGGCTGCAGAAGAAAAAATGGAGTTCCTCCTCTTAGGAAAAAACTGCTTCGCATTTTCTAATCCGAATATGATCCAATCTAATATGATCCAATCTATCCATCAAATTCCTTCTCCAACTCCTTCAAAAGCCCTCTTACCGCCACCACCAGTTTCAGCTTGCCCTTTCGCCATAGGCACAACCACAACTTCCTCCTTGCCGCCTGCTCAATTTCTTCTTCACGACCCCGCCGTTGCCACTGTCAATCGCACCTTTCCCTTCCAACAGCTCTTTAGTGGTCCAGTACCGCCATGGCCTCATCCCTACCACCAATCTCCACTGTCCTTTGTCCCAGTCCAGACACCCAAACTTCCATTTCTCCCTGCTCAACTGCAAGAATCCTAGCTTCCCCTTCCGCTGCTCCAGAGGAGGGAGTGAGTTGCAAAGATTCAAGCCAAACCAGAAGAGAACAGAGGGAAACTAACCAAAGTCGATTTCTCTCTCCACCTTTTGTTGATCCAAGTCGAATCCAGGTTGAGGGGGATTCATCGCTGATGGCAACAACAACAGCAGTAGCGACACAGCAGCCGAGAAAGGGGAGCAGAGCGAAGAGGCGACCGAAACCGCTACTGCCACCACCAGAATCCGCCGTCATCCACGAATCCTCACCGCAAGAGGCCACTGTAAGTTGCTCTTTTCCTTGCATTTTTTTACAACATGTCTGTCGTGGGCTGCTATGGCAGATTTTTATGTCGATTGTTCATAATTTTGAGAACATACGTGCTTTGTACATTGATGGAGCTGAATGTTTTGATTTCTGATAATTTTTTGGGCTAATTGTTACTTTGATTGAGCACAGATTTGCTGATGTTTTTTACGCTCATGTATTGTTTGATAAAATGCCTAACCGAAAGTCCCACTTGAAAATGATTTTTGCTTGCGTTGTGCGTGTGAAGAAGAACGAACAGTCAGGAGGTTTCATGCTTGTCAAAATAGTTAATTTCATAAACATAGGTTTGAGAAATTTTCAGAGCACGTCTGCCATGCGTTTTGTTTAGTGGAAGTTTCATGTTGTTTGCTCACAATTTTGGATTGTATGTGCCTTATATGCTGAATTGGACCGAAATCTCTTGTTGATCGAACAATTTTGGGCCAACCGAGACCTCATTTGAGTAGGGAATTGCTGAAATTTTCATGCCCATTTAGTGTTTGATAAAATGCCTAAACAAAGTCTTGAATAAAAAAAATGAGATTTCGTGCATCTTTCTGTATACGTGTGAGGTGGATTCTGGCTAGCTTGTGTTTGTTAGTTAGAGAGAGGAAAAGAAACAAGGATTTTTGGAGTCGGTTCTTGCTGTTTTTTTGTATCAGATAATGGTTTAGTATGTATGTGGTGTGCAAAAAATTGCTGATATAGTTTGCCGTGGAACTACCTTTCTTGAAGACAATTAAAAGCTGCAAAAATGTTTACCCTGTCTGCTGATTCGCTGAGTAATGTTTTGAACTAGAAAAGGATCACTTCTCCAAGTTGCCAGATTGGCCTAAGAATCTGAGCACGGATAGATAGCAAATCATTCACCAGTGTTGACCCACTGCTTTCCCTTGCCTGCCCTGTCGTTTTATGGGTTCCTTTCGTTTAACATCTTTCTTTGACTAACCCGTTGAATGTTGAGATCCTCTTTCAATGACTATAAATCATGCCCAAAATCCATGCGGCAAAAGT